AGAAATTGGCCCAGAGGATAAAAAAAGAAGGTCTAACAAAAACTCACCAAAGTCAAAGAGAAGAAGGGAATTATTATAATTCCATAGCCGTTGGGAGTTAATCAAGCAAAATATTGTGCGCAAGATTGTAATCTCCATGTAACAAATTAAAATTAATAAATAAATGCATTTGAGATGCCGTATTTTGAAAGCAAGTAACGAACACCCTATATATAACGGTTTTTACAAAGATTATGGCGAAATAAAAAAAAACTCATTTTGTTGGACATTTTAACCATTTTTAAGAGTGCAACCCTGTAGATGGGATGCTTGAAAGTGTATCGTCTTGGTTTTAGGCCTTATTTATAGCAATAAAATACCTGCCCCGTCTGTAGGACAAGCATCAGGGATAGCTGTCTCGTCGTTTACCTATGAATAAATTACCGATAGTTGGGTTTACCCCGTAACAATAGATGTGAAGGTTGTAATTACCTTTCGGAGGAGGATCCGTCAAAACCCAAGACGATATACTTTGAGACACACCATACAAATGTCGTCTGGGTAGCACACGTATCCGAAAATACCCATAATCATTGTTGACTTAAACCGGAATTTCATGGTCCCTAAAGCCGACAAAAACCATTACCGATATATCTAATCGAAATCGTTTACTGACTAATTTAAACGGCACCACACGTCGATTAGTAATAGTCCAAACAAAGAAACTTACAACAAAATTAAACGATGACGTTTTAGTACCTATATAATGAATCGGGCGAGGAACGGCGGAAAAATACGTTTTAAATAAACAAATTAGACGTTTAATTGCGGTTATCCGGTGCTGCGACGTTGATGGAAAACGATTTTAAATTTTACAAACTCAATTATAAGGTTGCCGACGGTACCGAGATAATTTCAATCGAGCTTGGATTTCGCTCAGTTTTACGCTAAATTAAGCCGACTTTTGGGGATTTTCTCCGACCTCCGAATGGAAATGTTACAATTTTCTTTCACCCTTAATTAATTAGATTAACAATCAACTCGCAATAGTCGACGCAGTAAATCATTTCATCACAAGTGACATGCAACCAACCGTACGCAAGCGTACAACTGGTTGCATGTTTCGATTATACCTGACAGCAGGGAGAGACAACAAAAAGGAAAGTAAACAATTGTTACCTCTTTAGAATTTAAAATTATAAATAATGCTGCCACTTGTCCCTTAGTTTTTTTGCGCGTCTATTGGGCAAAAAAAAAACATCTCAAGCAAGAACGAAACTAACCAAAATGATATACTTTGGTCAAATGACATAGACCGGGTATTTCTAAGTGGCATCCTTCGTTACTGAAAGACGCAGGGTACGAACATTTTCGTGAAGCATGTCGACAAATGTTTCAATGAGCCTTAAAAGTTCCCTTTTAAGGGAAAATTTGGTTCTGACAAAAAAATTGTATATATGGTATATATATATATACAGTGTGTCCAAGATAAGGATGCACAGCATGGGGATCTCGGAAACTATAAGAGATACAGTGTCGGTTAAATTAGACAAAAGTTGCGCATTTTGATACCGAACAAGATCAGGTTTTACAAATTTGAAAATTCCAAGCCGTTCCGGAAATATCCGAGAAAAACCGAAATATTGCGATTTCGTTTTTATTATTTTTTAAAGCTATTTGAAAAGATATGAAAAAACGGAAAACACTTTTCCATTGGCACTTTTTAATCTCTCCAAATTGACGTTAACAAATTTTCATTACAGCTTTTCGATTCCATGTAACCACCATCAACTTTGATTTTTCTTATGGGACGGAAAAAAAGTACACACAGTATTAGGTTGTGCTTTTCATTACGAATTCAACGGTGTACGATACAATATGGTTACTTATGTTTTTATCCAGAAAAATGGATTTTTAATACATTTCAGCATTTAAATGGAGTAGGCCATGACAAAATGACATCCAGTCAATTTCAATGACACATTAATGTTATTTGTCTTTGTTATCAGTCGATCATAAGTTTATTCCTTTAGTTATTGTTTTTGTATTTTTATTGTTGTTGTCTTTTTCTAATTTATTTTGTTCTACAATGGAGGGAGGTAATTTTACAAACGAAGAAAAATGTGATATGCTGTCTTGCTACATCTGATGCCAAAGAAATTGTGTGGAAGCCGAGCGTATGTATTCTAACAAATACCCAGAGCGGAGACAACCTGACAAGAGTATTTTTCGGCGTTTGTTATTTAATCTGAAAGAATATGGATAATTTAAGAAGCCTGCATTATCCCGATAAAAACCTTCCAATGAAGAAAACCAATACATTGTTCTACAATCTGTTATCGAAAATCCACAAACTTCTACCAGAGAAATTGAAGACCAGAATGGGGTAGCTAAATCTACAGCTCAGTTTATTTTAAGGAAAAATGAATTTAAGCCTTACAAATTCAGAATATGTCAAGGATTAAAACCGGGTGACGACGAACGACGTAGACATTTTTGTGAGTGGTACACCAGGATGTGTGATGAGAGTTTTAATTTTCCATATAAAGTGATTTGGTCTGATGAAAGTATGGTGACCAATAACGGTATTTATAACAGGCTCAATACACACTATTGGTCGCAACAAAATCCACGTGTTAATAGACTATCCAGACATCAAGTTCGCTTTGGGTTTAATATTTGGTGTGGGATTTTTGGTAGCAAGATTATAGGCCCTATTTTCTATAATAATTCCTTAACTTCCGAGCGGCACCTTGACATCTTGAGGCACGATTTAGATGATGCCTTAGATGATTTACCGCTAGGCGCTGTGCAAGGCTGCTGGTTCCAACAAGATGGTGCCCCAGCCCATAACTCCAGAGAAGTTCGCCAATATTTAACTGAACGGTTTGATGGAAAATACATTGGGACTTACAGTGAAACACCTTGGCCTCCAAGGTCCCCGGACTTAACTCCCTTGGACTTTTTCTTATGGGGCTACATAAAAAATGAGGTATTCAAAGAATGTTTTGACAACGAGGAACAATTACGTCAATCAGTACGAGCAGCGTTTAATAAAATTACTCCTGAAATGTTAAGTCGTGTTTTGGAGTCTACCGTGAGACGGGCGTACTTATGCCTAGAAAATGGAGGTCATTTATTCGAACATTCATTATAGAATTTGTTTTTCATTAACTTGTTGGATTTAGTTGTTATGTTAAATGAACAGTTAGAGTTAGTAAATAAATAAACACATTAACTCGAACTTGTCAACCATTTTCTTTTGCCTTTCATCGTTCGGATCTCATGGCCTACTACAATAAAATACTAGAAATGTATTAAAAAGCCATTTTTCTGGATAAAAACATAAGTAACCGTATTGTATCGTACATCGTTGAATTCGCAATGAAAAGCACAACCTAATACTGTGTGTACTTTTTTTCCGTCCCATAAGAAAAATCAAAGTTGATGGTGGTTCCATGGAATCGAAACGCTGTAATGAAAATTTGTTAACGTCAATTTGGAGAGATTAAAAAGTGCCAATGGAAAAGTGTTTTCCGTTTTTTCATATCTTTTCAAATAGCTTTAAAAAATAATAAAAACGAAATCGCAATATTTCGGTTTTTCTCGGATATTTCCGGAACGGCTTGGAATTTTCAAATTTGTAAAACGGGATCTTGTTCGGTATCAAAATGCGCAACTTTTGTCTAATTTAACCGACACTGTATCTCTTATAGTTTCCGAGATCCCCATGCTGTGCATCCTTATCTTGGACACACTGTATATATATATATATATATATATATATATATATATATATATATATATATATATATATATATATATATATATATATATATATATATATATATATATATATATATATATATATATACAAAAAAAATAGTCAGCGAGCCGATGATATGACAAGCATTCCATTTCTTACAGAAACTGAAAGGAAGGTGGAGGCAAGAACTGTCAAGAAGGGAATAAGTTTTTGTTTGTTTTATTGCTTTACTGATCAGAAATGTTTTCATTGTTAAGGACCCATAAGTTTGTTATGGGCACACTGCGAGTCTGCAAGTGTTACCTGGTAAACAAAAAAAAAGCAAGCATCTTTACAAGAAACGGCCACATTGACGAAGATTCCAATATCAACTGTATGGAAAATTGTGAATAATCCCATTTCAGCGAGGAAAAAAAGAAGCGATGCTGACATTTTCTCGAGTGTAGATGAAAGTGATCAAGATATAATACGGCGTAAAATTTACCAGTTATACGAGGAACAAAGCGTGCTTAAACATATAGAAACAGCAGAACAAGCGTATATCCATATGGCAAATAATATAGAACAAATAATACTGATATATTATGTGAATAATTTTAAGTAATTTAAGGAGGTAATAAAAATAATTTGTAATTTTATTTTAGATTTAGCAGAAACATCTGCCTGAAAACAACGTCATGTGTCATAAAAAATATGTATGCCAAATTTTCCATAAAATAAGGTTGCTCTGTACCAGTCAACAACATCATTTTAAGTTTCTTATAACTAATCTAATTTAATTTTTGTTATGTGCCTGATTCTTCGGCATTTTTTTGGATTACATTTTTTGTACATGTTATTAGTGCTATTACGAAAGACGTCATCAAAACCATCGATCGTTAAACGATCCCTAACCTTTCACCAAGGTGTTTTCCTATGTGCGAGGCATGGAAAATCCGCGCGAGATTTCTTACGGCGGCATTACACACCCCGGAGTCTGACCTTCCTTCCGCATTTATAAAAAAAACACCAAGAGGCCGAGGCAAGCTATTTTTAGCACTAGGTTAAACAGGCTAATATATTAGAAGACATTACAACGTTCCTCTATAGAAACGCAGGGGCGTGGTCCATAAAAAGTATCGTTTTCCGACCCCGAGAAGTGTTTGGTGCTATTGCGGGGAGTGTATTGGTTTGGTTTTGACACGGGGTTTCCGTATAATGACGTTGATTTTTGTATTTTATTTTATTATTATATTTTACGTATGAAATAACTTACCTAGGATTTCTTTATTCTCTAATTTTAATTTAAGCTCTTCTATCGTACTATTTCGTATGAGGGGTTCGCTATTGGTCAGGTCCTGCAAACAAAATGAAAACGTCAAAATGTTATCGCTATCACACACAAACACAAAAATCATACACAACACATACACAAAAATCATAGAGACGACCAGAAGGGTGGATCAGTACTAATGTACCAGGTATGTACTCGACAATTAGGAAACCTTCTACGATGCTCTTATACCGCCTCCCCAGCTCTACCATTGCAAAAGCAGTATACGAAATGAATATCTGCTAATTCTCTATTTGAAAACAATGAAGCTTCTTTAAAATGTAAAGTTTATAATTTTTATTAGAATAATTAACTTTACAGCTGATAATAAAAGGATTTATAAGCACAATCCAAGTAAAAACTATTTTTTACCAACAATGAACAGAATTGAAAGCTGTCGAATAATTGACATTTAATTTCTATTTACCCAGCCACACAAACAAATGAAACGCGTCATTAACTTCCAAGGCTTACTAATGATTATCTGCACCTCGATTGTAAACATTAAAATACAAAAAATAATTTGTAATTAAATTTTCAAAGGCATTTGCGACTAGGGTACCTTATTTACGTAGAACACTTCAGGTTTTCAAATTCTGCAATTCAAATTACGAAAATTCGACCAACAAAAAATTTGGGAAAATTTTTCTAACGCCTCCCCTGTGTTACCCGCCCCTGAAGGCAATCCAATACTAAGTTTTAGTTCCTTAAATAGAGCCTTAAATCTTTAGTAACTGTACTGAATTTTATTTAAAAATATTTACGTGTTTCGAAAATATTTACAAAAAATTGTCGTCACCTCTTCAAATTTAACACCCTGTATGTTAAAAACTTGGACGTTTTGGACCCTAGTTTTACCCTTATTTTGGGTCACAGAATGACGTCTAATGTCACCCTGAATAAGTGACTCAATAATTCAATTCAGGATTCTACAGGATCTTTCCCATTATGGATACTTATTAGGGGAGGGTGGGACAATGCGAAACAATTAAGCGTTTTATTTTTTTTGTGGTTTTTAACCATCAAGTCGATTTATTTTTGACTAAATTTAACTAAATCTACCCAAATTTGGGGCGAACCTTATCTATAATGTTATGTAATAATTAAAATTACTTATTAAAAAATACTTAATAAAAAAAACGTTACTCAGTAGTAATTATTTTTCTATAGATAAAAAAATTTGTTATTGGTATTTATAAGGTTTTCGAAAGCTCTGGCTTTACGCTAAATAAAAATTTATAATTATAATATCGAAAAAAAAAGGTTAATTTTTGTTAGACCCTCCCCTACATGAACAATGTGCAATACTAGGTAAAAATCTGGCATATTACTTCCGTTCCGACGTTGTCATCTTGGGAAGAGAGTCCTTCCGGAAATTCTGACGTCTCCATTTCATCGAATTCCATCCGAACGAATCACCGAATAGTATCCAAAAAACCGAACAAATTAAATACTTTTTTCCGCAACGTTTTACTGGCGCACCATCATGGCGGTGTCGCCGCGAGCGTCGCTGACAAACTGGAAGCTAACGCTTCTAAATCGTTGCATTGTATAGTTTTCTTTCCTGATAAGAATATTAACACTGTTTACTGGTCTAGGACGTAAATACGGTAAAGCCTTATCTAGTACGACGGCGTTACGTACCGGGAAACGTTTTTGTACAGGCTGGTCTACCGGGAAATGGTTCGGTCCATTAGACGTTAAATATAAATCAGAAAAGTTTCGGCCTTTGGTAGTACCAAATTAATAAAACAGAAATAATCGCGTTTTTTTTTTAAATACGTTGTGCCCGTCTTAACAAAAAAAAGTTTCTTAAAAAAATTGTTACATAGGACTTTTTTATTTAGTAAAAAAAAATACTCTTCATAACGTGTTTATCTAAATATTTTTCCTTGGAAAACAAAACATTTCAAACGCTTTTAACATAAAAGTAACACAAGTAAACTTAATTTACGTACCAGCAACACTTATTTCTTCCCAAAAAGTCATACGGTTTGCATGAATAATTGGTCTTAGTTTTGAGATAAAATTATTTTTTCTTTCCAAAGATATGCCCAAACATTTATCTTGATATCCCTTGCTTATACACGGAAGTAGCTAAAAAAATTAAAGCTTTAAAATTTTCTGAAAAGGAATTTTTATAATATATTTTCATTTCTTGTGAATTCTATATGCACCACTTTCTTGAGATTGGAATTATTTTTTGTAATTTATATTTGGAAGAATCATCTTTTCACAAAAAAAATCTTGCAGTGTCATTTCTTTTACATCTACTTTTGACGAGTTTGCCATTTTCACAGTATTTTTTAAATCATCAAAATCATAAACCTTTGGTTGTTTTTTTGAGATTAATTCCACCTGATGATGGATATTGGATGGATATTTTATTTCCAAAATTTGCATCGCAACATCTGTACAGTTTATGACGTAAATAAAAAAAAAAAAACAAAAAATGCCCTATTTTTTGTTTCGGGCTGCACAATTGTCAAGCCACATTGTATAAGGTTGTTCGGAAAGTCATTTCGTTTTTTCCCGTCAGAGGACTTAATTACGGTTTTTCGAAACGAATTTCACACTTAAGCAGCATAACCATTATATGTCTTGAGAGTTGATATTGCAAGGCTTGTGTGTGAAAAAGTTCTATTAATTCTACGCAGTAGTTTTTGGTTGGTGCCCTTTTAAATATGGAGAGTAATAAGCAGCATTTTCGTCATATTTTACTTTTTTACTTCAGAAAAGGTAAAAATGCTGTCCAAGCGAGAAAAAAATTGACGGATGTGTATGGAGAAGGCGTGTTAACAGTACGCCAGTGCCAGAACTGGTTTGCAAAATTTCGATCCGGCAATTTTGATGTCGAAGATGCACCACGGTCTGGAAGGCCGGTCGAAGCTGACGAAGATGCGATAAAGGCATTAGTTGATGCAAATCGGCGAATAACCACACGAGAGATCGGTGAGAGATTAAATTTGTCGAATTCGACTGTTTATGGCCATTTGAAAGGCATGGGCTTAACCTCGCAGCTCGATGTGTGGGTGCCCCATGTCCTTACGGAGCGAAATTTGTGTCGTCGCGTTGACGTGTGTGATTCGCTCCTCAAACGTCCAGAAAATTATCCATTTTTGAAGCGGATTATTACTGGGGACGAAAAATGGGTTGTATACAACAATGTTAAACGCAAGAGGTCATGGAGCAGAAAAGATGAACCGGCTCAAAGCGTGTCAAAAGCCAATATTCACCAAAAAAAGGTGATGCTCTCCGTTTGGTGGGATGTCAAAGGAATCGTTTTTTTTTGAGCTTTTGCCGGACAATACAACGATTAATTCAGAAGTCTATTGTCATCAACTGGACAAATTGAATGATTCATTTAAAGAGAAGAGGCCCGAATTAATCAACAGGAAGGGTGTAGTGTTCCAGCAGGATAATGCGAGACCTCACACAAGTTTGGTCACTCACCAAAAACTTTTACAGCTTGAATGGGACGTACTGCAACATCCACCATATTCTCCAGATCTGGCGCCTTCCGACTACTATTTGTTCCGGTCCCTGCAAAATTTTTTGTATGGCAAAACCTTTAGCTCAAATGAAGATGTCAAAAACCACCTGAACCAGTTTTTTGCCAGCAAGGACCAAAACTTTTATGAGAGGGGAATTATGTTACTGCCAGAAAGATGGCAAAAGGTGTTGGACCAGAATGGCCAATATACAATTTAATAAAATATTTATTCATTATACGAAAACTGTCTTTCATGTTCCCCAAAAAAAAAACGAAATGACTTTCCGAACAACCCAATAATATTTTTAACATCCCTATTATTAAAAAAAAGTAGAAACTAAGTCTTCCTTATTTCGTCCGGCCACACCTTAATACCATATTACCGCTAGTGGCTTAGTTTTTTTCGAATCAGCACCTACTGACACGTATGACTCATTAAAGGCTATCAGTCTTGGGATAGAGTGGTAAAACCTGTAATAATTGCACTCGAACTATGTATTTAATTTGGTCAAATTTTACGCCGCCGAGGCGACATAATCAATAATATAGATATTACCGAATCTCTCACAGCAGCAGATACTATTTCAAATACCAACATCCACCGCAAACACGAAAAACGTTCACTTAAAAGTGGTTTTAAAACTAAGTTTTAGAAATTCAAGTTTTGGTGACACGGAAGTGACAATAAACTAACTATAGACAAGGGATTGATCAATTTTTGAGGTTAGCTTGGAAATTATTTAGTGTGTCTACAGTATACATCACCGGGACAGTGCAAAAAACAAATCGTTGGTAAACTACACCGTCCTAAGTATTATAGGTATAATCAGTTAGTAAACAAACCGACTATCTTTAAAATTTCAATGAGTTAGGACTAATTTATTCTAGTAAATGCTAGATAGGACGTTTTGATTACGCAAATTCGCATTATTAGGGCATAGGACAATATTTTTACGCAATTTAAACATGCAGTATGAACACTTAGGATATTCTAACTTAGAAAATAGATAAAAAAATAATATGGAATAATTAAAATATAAATAAAACGCAAAATTCGAAAAAGTTAGGATGTGTTAACTAAGAAGAGCAGAACGCCGGAAGCGCGTTTGCAGGAAAATAAAGAATGGCGCGAAAAAAGTCCGAAAAAATTACAATAATAAATTTTTACTTGCATCAATGTATATATTTGAATACTTTCACTCATTTGTTCGACTCGTTTGGATTTTTATTTGTGACAAATATTTATATATTTAAACCAAATAAAAAGTTAATAGAATTTGCGAAAAAATACCTTCTGTGATTTAAATACACTTATTAAAAGTTCGATGAGTGCGGGTTTTTGGAGATAAAGGCAGTACGTCATTTGTAACCTATATTTCTGGGGAATTACCTATTATAATATATGAGGTCTAAAGAAAACTTTTTCGGCTAAATATGGCATCTTGTCCTATCCCTTCATCTTTTTCATCTAAATAGGAGCTGCTCAGCACTAATCAAATAAACATTTATTTCATTTTAAATGAATAGTATTT